TTTCTTTAGAAATTTCTCTTATTGCATTTGACTACATCGAAAAGATACTTAGAATATTTTGTTATTCTTACTATTTCACTTATTTTTATTACATTCCCTTCGAAATACTTAAACTATTGCGTTAATAGTGGAATCAAGTAGACTTACTCTACTGCTTCATAATTTCTTTGTGAATATTTGAATATTTTTTTAAATAAAATTTTAACATCAATATTTACTTTTTATCTATTTTTCTTTGACATTTGTTAAGAGTTTATATTGCAGCCTTTCATTTCTGATTCCTGGATGCTGCTGATGCTGCTGCTGCTGTTGCTGCTCCTTTTTATTGTTGTAGTCACTTCGGCGCTCATGTGGAAATTGAATTTTTGAATAAAAGCAACAAATGTTGTGTTCCTACGTTAACGAGAAATGACAGTTCGACAGTTTGACATTTTGTTTCCTTTTCTTCCATGGGTATTATAACCTTTATTTCAACCTTTCTTCTATTTTGTGAGGGAAGAAAGCATAACAAATCGTAAAAGTACAAATGTACGTCGAGTTAAGCTGCTTAAGCTTACAAGGATTTCTTTAAATTCTTTTGTCAAAATTTTTGTTATAAAAAAAATCGAAATAAATATGCTTTGGGGTTCAAATATGATCGAAATATTTGTTGAAATCAATGACAACTGTTGCCTTTTAGTGAGGAAACTTCATTTCGATACTTTCAGTATGCAAATTTAACAAATTAACTTACTTCTTTGAGTGTAATTTGTTGAGAGAATTGAAAAAAGACATTCTTTAGCTCTTGAATTTTTTTTAAATATTTTATTTTTGGACAAAATAAGAATCAGTCAGTTATATATGACTTATAATTCAATTTAATAATAACTACAAGGCATTATTCGTCTATAGGAGAGATAAAAAGACAAACTGTCATTTATAGATTGTTGAGTTTTGGAGTTAAAACTAAACTATTGGGTCATAATAAAGTTGACTAAGTTGACCATTACAGACATGAGTCGTCCTTGGTCGCGTGGACTTGCCTCCGCCAGCTAACCCGATCAGTTGCTTACTCTCAGCAGTTGATAGTACCGAGTGCACCCAAATTGTTAGTCACTTAGGAATTCCACTGAAAATGCAAAAGTCCTTTACAACATTTTCCGCCTACGGGTACCGAATCAAATACCTTTTTAGCCGGAGCATTTCCTTCTATTCGCACGATATGACAAAGTCAGCGAAACCGCTGAATTTTTATGCGCTGAACTATATCAATGTCGCAGTTCGTTCAATCTAATTAGATACCCGTCGCCAATGCGTAAGGGACCATAGATTTTCCGAAGTATTTTTGCCTCGACTGCTACTAACGCCTTCTCATCACTGTTGGTGATTGTTCAAGCTTTCGCACCATACAGCAGGACAAGCATGATGAGAGATTTGTAGAGCACGTTCTTTTTAATTTTTTTTCCGGCAACGTTGAGGAAAGTGCTTTCCATTTGTATAGTTAATATTGACGGTATATGTCAATATCATATCATATAAGATAACCTAGCAGGTTATTGTGTGTTAAGAGTAGAAGCTGATAAGTTGGGCTTGATCAAAAATGATATGGGTGGGATTTTTATTATACTTGGAACAAAGTAAGCTTTGAAATGTGTGCTATGTGCGTTTCAACCTTTGTCAAAGATATCACGAAATGCTACGGTATAGCACAATATAATAATCTGGAAGACGCATCCATAAAAGAAACTGTTGAAATTTTTAAATTGCGATAATTGAAAAATATTCTACTAATTAGGTAGAAATCAATGCAATCTCTAAAAATGATAAGGCCACGGGATTACTTTACTAAACCACTTTAAAAACTAACTCACTCACCTATAGAAAGCACACACAATCTTAATATAGCTACTACTCTATTAAACATATCTCTACTAGTACTCTATTAAACATGTAACTGGTACCAAAAAGGACCCGTAGTACTATGCGTGACAAATTTACACAACCAGTTCAGCCTACCCACTTAATAAAGGAATATAAAGGTATTATACTCTCTTTATGAAAAACGATACCGCTATGAATGGGTATATATCCCTATTTGTACGACCGAAAACTACAAATCACAAATACCTTAAAAGTCCTTTAAATTACATATATCACATTTCTAAAAGATTATTTAAAGTGACAGCAAATTTTTTTCAAATTTTTTTAAAAATTTTTTTAATTAATAATGGAAACATATTTGAATGAATAAGTTCTGCCTTTAATCCCTACCACATGCTGTGCCATTTGGGTGTGAGATTCTGAACTATTATACATTTCCACATCCTCATATTTGTATTTGTGTACAATTTCATCTTCGTTTTATTTAATTTTTTTGAATTATTATATTTTTGTGTAATAATATTGACATATTCCAAAATTTTTTAATACTCAAATACAAAGTATAAATAGGGAAAATACTTCCCATCAATCAATTAGAGAACAATAATAATTGAGTAATTACCTACAAATAGTCTTACAATAAAGTCTGGTAATAACTTAAATTCATTTAAAACACATTTTCTCTTCGACTTTAAGACCAAACAAATACGAAAAATACACAAAATTATATGTAATCCGATTATTATTAAATTACTCGAACACAAAATAGGTTTGAGACAGAGGCAGAGGTAGAGGAAGAGAACCCAAAAAAATAATAAACTTACAATTTAATAACGTTATTGTTCTACAATTTCCTGTGTGCCTATTATATGCTTTCAATTACCAACCAGCAACCAACCTACGAACGAACTTATAGATAAATACGACTACAGACAGACTCATATAATGGAAATATCTTTTGTGCTGCCTACGAAGTATCTAATTAAGTTATAAGAATTTTTTGCCTTTAATCTACTTTACGACCGTCATTTTTTGATTTTCTTCCTTTTTTAATTTTGCTCCGTACACTTTCCGTAGTTGTTGTCGGTGTTGCGCCACATCTGCCTGACTCTTATCTGCAGCCAATAATGATGATGTCGTTTAAGCCGTGTTGCCTGTAGAGAAAGAGCAGCCAAAAGATTAGGATGTCCTTAATTGTTACTTAACGATAGCATAAAGGCTCAGCATGAGCGGTGAGTGGTAATTATTAGTTAGAAAGACGTTGGAAAAATAAGTCATTATAGACAATAGCTGCTATGGCAGTCAGTTATAGCAACAGCCAAGACCGTAAAGGCCGTGGAGTAGGCAAAATCAGCTAACAAAAGGACAATGGATTTCTGTGGCAAAAAGGGCAACGTAAAAATTAAAATTCAGTTAAAAAGTCATCAGCAAGGCGACTATGAGCTTGGTTTTTATGCAATACCAAATTATGGTTGTAGGATCAAATATCTTAAAGTATATAGTTGAATTTAAAATTGTTGCAGATAAAATAATTTTACATTTTTCATTTGAAATATAACAGAATTGTTGAGAAAATATGACTAACTATTAGTTTAAGACATTTCTAGTGGAAACTGACTTTAATTAGAAAAGGTTCAGATTACTCAGTTTTAGACGCTGAGTTAACTACTTAATATCTACACTGAAGAGGATTTGGTAAGATTTTTATATTCATATAAATATTATTTTTGAGGTCTCTTTACGAAGAAAAATTTATATTTGTTAAGGACAATGCAAAAATCCAGACAAAGTCTAGCTAGTGTAAACGCTTGGTTATATATAATTTTATGTCAAACTCGTAGAATTAAATCACATGACTTAAAGAAAATTTAGTATGTTAAATTAAAAGCGAAGAGCTAAATGTTAGGTTAGGTTAACTTTGCGAGGTGGCTTTATGCCTAAATCCCACCTGAGCTAAAATAATAGCACGTTATGATACCACTGAAGAGCTTAAGCTCCATTGAAATCATTTTATTCTACAGGTTTTTGTGGGTTATTAGATTAATTTTATTTTTATATGGAACAAAATACACTGCTTGTATTTAATCATGAACTATTTAGTCATAAATTTATCAACACGTTCAATAGTTTGACCATCCTCTGCGATTTCATCATCAGGAACTAGAATTTTGTGGGAAAAGTTTGATATGTGTTATCAAAGCTGCTAAAAAATTATTATGCTTAAACCAATTTTTACTTAGATTGTTATTATTGTTATGAAAGAATAAAGTACTATGATCTGATGAACTATTTTGCACCCTTAATAAAGAGGGGCCGATTATTACAATCCCATATACTCAGTATTTATCAAATTTCAGTGAGACTTGCTTCATCATTGAAACTCATATTTTTTGTAGTATTCCTGACAATTATGCATCACTCAATAAGAAGACCGCTATATACTTGAGACTCGAACCCAAGTCTTATTCTACAAGTTTCTTTGAAATAAGCATCACTGTATTTATCACTGTATTGTATTGTATTGTACTGTATTGTATTTGAATTTATCTGAATTTATCATAGCTATCCATACACTCTCCTAGGTTTGTCTTCGCATTAGTCATCACTATATCAGAAAATCGTTGTTTTATTGTGGCTTACTTCATCACAGAAACCCAAGTATACTTCTAAGTGTTTTTTCGCATTATGCATTAGTGTATCAAGAGACCGTCTTATTACAGATACATAATTTATCATAGCAACCCATGTATTATTCCAAGAGTTTATTGGAATTATATATCACGCAATCAGAAGACTACTTTTTTACTGAGATTACGTTCATCATTATTAAATTTTTTTTCCAATAATGCGTCAGAAGACCACCTTTTTATTTCTTCTCGGTACCCAAATAATCTTCCGAGTGTATCTTCGGATTATACATCAGTGTATAAGGAGAATGTTTTTACAAACAACAATATTGAATAAAATTTTTGCTCTGATCTAAACCTTTCTTTGAATATCTATAAATTACTCAGAAACATTTTTTGGCTTAAGTAAAGTGTTGTTTAAACACCTAAAAGCAAAGTACACTAAAACTATTTTTAAATTATCGAGAAATCCTTATTCACTATTATTTAATATATTTTTTATTTTATTTTTAGTTCAAAAAACAACAGAAAATACGGATTCATTTAAATCACATGTGTCCAATGCACAGAAATTGAAACTTGGCAGAAAAGTCTTTTCGAAAAATTCCCAAATGTCTGTGCAGTGATAACCAAAACGAAAGGTTTCAACAACTATTTACAATAACAACAACAACAATCACAACTTTGTAAAAAGTGTAGACAAAGAACATTTAAAAACAAAATATAAATAGAAGTAAAGAGTAAAGTAGTGAAAACTAGTGATAAGGAGTTTGCATTGAAAGTCCTGAAGATGCCTGCGCTTACAACAGAAACAATTTTACTTCAGGCCATAACAAATGCCAACATAACAGACAACCCACTTCAACAGCGATTGCAACCGGAAACCGTACTAAGTCCCGCTCCAACGGTCGGTGGTGGTGTTAGCGGTGATGATGGTGGAGCTGGTCTCGGTGATACAAGTACGCTCAGCAACATCGCTTCAATTATACTCTCGAATTTCCTGCCAACCAACACAAACTCAAATTCTATTGCAGCAATGCATAAACCATCTTTTGCCACATTTAGCCCGCCAAGCATAGAGAATCTTGTTGCCAGCTCAGCAGAGGATTTAAACAATTTTCGGGATGTGACATTTGATATCTTTGACGATGACGACGATTTATTTGGCTCACCCATGGCATTCGATGCTAGTGAGAACGGTTTGTGGAATGGACGTTTTGTACCGCCACCGCCACGGCCACCCTTTTTCATGGATGAACCAGTGCTGAGTGATGGACTGACAACGTGTGATTTGTGTTCTTGGGCCATGCCAACCAAGAGTACTTTTATCTTTGAGGGCACAATAGGTAAGCAAAACAAAACAAAATTGAGTTTGGGTTGTTTGTGGGGTCGTGGGTTGTCAACTGTGGACTGTGTAAATAAATAAAAATTACTGTGAATTTTATATAAATGACAGTAGAAAGTATTTACAGAGTAGCACATGACTGACCATTACTTATTTCCGTTCAGGCTTATGTATTTATCTCTTCCCATTTTGTTTTTGTCTATTTTTTTGTAGAAAAAGCATCTGAACTGGGTTGGCCTTTAACACTTATAATTGTGTCCATTTTGTCAGCACTTCTGGGGGCAATTATAATGATTACAGTGGTGCGATGCAGAAGGTGAGTTGCAAAATTTATATGTGAATTTATAGTAGTATTAAGAATCAAATATATTTAGAATTTCCATTTAAAGATTCTTTTTAATAAATTAAATACATAATGAAAAATGCTTAACAAATATATTAATATTTTATAAAACTCATTTAAAATTCATTTAAAAAGAATAAATTAAATATTTAAAGTACCGATATAATTAAGTAATACAATCTATTAATTATTATACTTAAAGTTTTTCAAATTATTTGTTTAAAATTTTGATTAAGCTATTAATATTCAAATTTTTTTAAACTGATTTGAAAAATTAAAATTTTGACTCAAAAATAAATTTCTTATATTTTTATATGTTATATATATTTTTATTATTATTGTCGATCAATTATAAATTATTTTTAATTGTAAAAAAGAAACTATTTGGATAATAATTTAATTAAACACTTAAAATACTGAAAATTATTATTAAATTAAATTATTAATTTCCTTTTTGTTTGAAATTTTTGATTTATTTAAAACATTTAACACATTAGTTTTTTATTATTTATTCTTATATTGATGACTTATCTCAAAATTATGAATATTGTTTTTCTTGCAATAATTTTACATATATTAATTCATATTTTTTATTTCTTTTTTTTATAGAAAAAAAGCTTCAAACAATCGTAATGGTAAGTGTCAAAAGCATTCACTGAAATCCCAACCAACATTACCTACACCAACACTTGATCACCATCATCATCAACACCAAGATTATCACAGTCATCAGCAACAGTTCTTACATACACAAACACTTGCTCATCCTCAATTGCCGCTGCAAAGCCACCATACCGCCTACTCACCGCACATTGCTGGCTTTCATCAGTTGCAGCCGCATCAACACCAACAACAGCAACAACAATATGTATCTAACACTAGTTGCTCTTCTTCGTCACTGACAAATGAAAGTAATAGCACAAACCATACAAGTCTCTCAACCATCTATCGTCCTTGTAGCAGTTTTAACCAACACCAACAACAAAATCCAACTGAGCAACAAGCTTTCCATAAAATTCATAACAGTTCCGTAAAGAATTGCAATAAACAATTTTCACAAAAAAATATTAATATGTTTACACGCCCCCTACCTCCACAACCCATAGACCCCACAGACAACAGTAGTAGTCATAGCATTGGCGAAAGCATTGACCGTGCTTCCTGCGCTGCCAGCAAAGTTGAACAGCCAGCAATTGCAACCGAAGTCGCGGCGGTAATGGTGGCTATGCACGGCAATGAGAAGACTTGAAAATTATTTTACTAAATTTTATTTGTTTTTTATGCACGCATTTTTGCAATTTTATTTCAAATAGAAACGCATGTGCAATGGTGGTCACGCAATAAACGTCCCAACAATAGCAATAACAACAATCATTTGCGGCGTAGCAACATTTATACAGCGCATCCAGCCGACAGTATACGAGGACTGCAACAACCGTCATTATCAGCAGCATCATCGCTAACAGCAATGACAGCCATGGGTGTACCGCCAGCAGCAACAATTGCCGCTACAACCAACACAACACAGTCACAACAACAGCAATTCTATGCACCGCACCTGCATCACCAACATCAGCACCAACACCAACATCAACATCAACATCAGCATCAGCATCAATTACAATTGCAACAGCATCAGCAATATCATCAACCGTTGCAACACGAATATGAATATGAGCATGAGTATCACCAGCCACAGGAATTGCAATTGCAGTTGCAACATCAGCGGCAGCATAGCTCGTCAATGTCATCAACTACGTCGTCGCCCTCGTTGACAACCACAACAACAATGATGCCAATGCAATTGCATGTGCAACGTCCACACCATCATGAGCAACATTTGCGCGAGGATGCCTGCCACTGGCCCAATGCAACGATGATGGTGGCCAGCTGAGTAGAGGCTACATATGCAGAGCCCACCTGACAACCGTGTCCGCAGCATTCCGGTGCTGCGACCATTGCTAGTGCTGGTGTAAGAAGCTACGAATTCGACTGGGCAAGAACAAAGAGCTTAGAAAGTTTGAAAAATGATTGGATTTGGCAGTGAAAGAGCAAAATGATTCGCCCTGAAGCAGAGCCAGGCAATGGGTTGGTGTATTTTTAAGGAAAATGAAATGCCCAAAGTACGCTTACAGTGTTTCGTTGTGTTTGTGACCAGCAATAGTCTGATTTTAGCTAATTTAGTAGTGCAATAATTTTACATGTTAACAGCTGCAAGCGTAGCAACATGCTGTGCAACTCATTTGTTGCTAAGCAATTAGGAACATAAAAATTTGTGCGCCGAGCAACATGTCGCTATGCGAAAAGTAGCTGAAAAGTTTAAAGTAGCTTTGTTAAAACCATTTTCACATGCAAATAAAATGAGTTCTTCGTCATAATGGATGCTATGTGAAGCATAAATACTTAAAGTTCCGTACACCGTTTCAGTGCTTCAGTGCTTCAGTGCTCCTGCTGCAGTGCTTCCAACACTTTTATGTGCTAAAATGCTAACCTCACATTTCATTGATACTCCTTAAAACTGCAGCAGCTTTGTCACGTATTGATTTGTGGTGGTCATCAAATTTTGGTGTTGTTCAACAAAATTTACTTTCCTGACTTACTAGCGCCACATGCTGGTCACGTCTTATCCTTTATTGCTTTTTGGTATTAGTAAAAGGAAGAATTTATGTTGCCAACTTAACATGAAACATATACGAAAAAAAAAAATAGAATAATATATAAAAGTATATAAAATATGAAAACGAATAAAATAAAATAAAATAGAAATATCTGAAAATCTGTGTAAAAGGAAAAAGGAAGTAAAAAAAGATGTAATCAAATTTAATGATTGTTTTTATAAACAGGGTTTTACGCATTTTACAACAAATAACAACAAATTACATGGAAATGAGTGAAATTTTAATGACGTAGCATTTATTATTTTTACGAAAACCAGAAGAAAAAAATTAAAAATTAAATAAAATGCGTTTAAATATCATATCACAAAAGTAAGCATTTTAATTGAATTAAAAACTGTGTAAATTTAATTAAAATTATTAAAATATAAGGACAAGACAAATATAAAAATTAAAGCAAAAGAAGAATTTTTAATAAGCAAAGCTTAAATTTAACAAAAGAAAAAAAAACAAAAAGAAAAACAAAAACAAAAAATTATAGGTATTTCCAAGCCTTTTTATTTCCAAAAAAATTTACTTGAAACGAAATTGCATGTTGATAACTCAGAAAGCCTTCTTCAATTACTTAAGTTACTATATGTAGATTTCTCAGCATTTTGTACATTCTTGTAAATAGCTACTTTTAAATTATATAATTAATTTAATTTAATATAATTAATTAATACTCTAGATTAATAGATTTCAAAGAAGACTTTACTGTACTTAACTCTGTTATAAAGTGGCTCTATGCGCTGCTGTAGTAAATTATTTTCACGAATTAAAAACAAAATCATTCCTCTTACAGTTCAACAAGAAAAGAAGTATAAACTTAATATAAGCAATATCCTTATATGTATGTAATAAAAGTTTTAATCGATTTATTAAGATACTACACAATTTAATCACAACCAAAGACTAGTCAGCTAAGTTTAATTTTATTGCAAATTGCGATACGATAAACAAATTGAATCATTATGTATTATATTATTATTAATAGTTTTCTTAAGATTTTAACTTAAACATAAACTTAAACATGAATTGCAATACATATTATAAATATAAGTTAGCAGCAAAAATAAATGAATTTCAATTTTAAACTTAAAACTTAAAAACAAATTTAAATAAATTAAAAACACACTTAAAATACAGAAATATTTCAATCAAAAGTAAAAATTTAGGAAACTTAAAAAATTCCAATTTTGTGAAACTGCAGAAAACTAAAAGAAACTTTAAATGTTCCATTATCAAAATAGCAATAAAAATTGAAAAAATTATAAATACAAAACAAAATATTAACTAAAAATATGTCTTGAAATAAGCAAAATAAAAAAGAAAAAATATAAATATTATTAAAACAATTAAAAATAATTTCTTTTATTTTTTGCAACTGCAATAGAAGTCGACAACTCCTTATAATATATTTCTACATATACATAGGAATAAACGGGGTACCAGCTCCTAACGCAGCGAAGTACTGCGACCATGGTTGATCTTTTGTGCTGCAACAGACCCTAACCGAACAGAAGACATTCCATCTTACGAATGAAAGCCAGAATGTCAGACAACTATCAAACTGATTGTCAACATTTTATACAGAGTTTATGTTTGATACTCAAGGTAAAGCCCAAATATTACGAATCTAAAATAATACATTATGGGCGTGTGCGAGTTAGGCTAAGTTGATGCTAAACCAAATGGGAAATTTTTTGGGATTTTTTGCACTGCACACATTTAGCCATTTATCAACATGTATCGACACATCACTACATTATCGGCACAACTTAGAATTTCCCTCATTTAGAACGCACCTTAGCCTAACTCGCACACGTCCTATATTCAGATTAGGGTTGCTTCCGGTTTGTATAGATAGTAAAAAGTTCGGAGCTCTTATTAACACAATGTCCTGATTGTTGAGTTTATCGGATTATCAATAACATACTTCACTAATAGTATTGCTTTAATAAATATAGGTATACAGGTCTGAATGTTTCACCATCAATACTTTCAAAAACGACGCTAAAAAATATTTAACATTAACTTATAGGGCTATGTGGTCAGCCAAAAATAAACACATAAACACATTAGTCAGAAGCTATTATTTTTATAAAGATAACGAAGACAAATGTTCAGGATATCCAGATTGCTGAGTGTTCGAATTATCAGTTGTAGTCGTTGCTAATAATATTACTTTAATAGATGCCTGTTTGATTAGACAATATTTAGAGATAATATATTATATTTAACTTATAATATTATAATAATATTTTTTATATAATACAAATATATATAGTTAATATATTTAATTTATAAACAATTCAAACATCACTATCCTCAAAAAAATGGACACAGTATAATTAACATCAACCTACAGGGCTATGTGGTCGGTCCAACATATATATATTAGTCTGGTATTCAAGGTAGAATGCAAACATTGCAGATATAAAAAAATAATACCAAACACTTTAGATACTAAGATCGCTTTCGGTTTATATAGATTGCAGATGAGGAAAATATGGTGTCACGTTTACTACAATATCTTGATTATTGGTAGTTGGAGTTATCGATAGGCGAAAATAACAAATGAGTTGCTTGATTAAAAACTTGTATGATATAACAATTTTTATGAAGTTTACAGACAATTAAGTCATCAATACTTTAAAAATTAAAATAGTTCAGTGTTTCCGCTAGGAGTGCTATCAAATATCATATAAGGGATATTTGAAGGAAAGACTCAGTATTCTTTGGGAATTCATACTACCTATATACAAACATCTTAGATAATTGGTATTTATTTACATAAGGCAAAAGACGTGCTTCAAATTGTTTCAATTTGCATTGGCTTATGAGTTTCAAGTCTGCTTTTGGCACTGGAGTGCTAATGAGGAATACTTCTGGAACAGTTGACTTTACTCTCGAATGCAGATAGTGCTGATCTATTCACAAGTAGATATATACACATATAAAATATATATAAAAAACTAAATATAGATTATATAATATATAAATATATACAAAATAAGACAGAGTCAAAGTAACAGGTAACAATATCAAAAAACTCTTTTTAATAGTAAAAAAAAAATTAGAAAATATTATATGAAAAACAACTATATAACTGCATTAATAATTATATATGTTTTAAAATCAGTAATCATTTCTGGAAAGAAACTCAGCAAATGCATGTATAGTGCAAGTATATAACTTCGCACTTAATTCAATACTAACTCCATCCAATTGAAGACGTATGTGGTGGCTGATATTATTTTGTGTTCTACTGATTTAACAAGTTTTCGAAACGGTTTCGAAAATTAATTAAGTTGCTAATCAAAGATGATTTAGTTAAATAAAAACGAAATAGTGGTAATATCTAAGAAGTTTTTTGACTGAAAACTCAAATTTATTCTCTCGAAGAATGCTTGCTACAGCCTCGCTTTTGCAAACAGAAGACCAGATGCGAATAACATTCCCTCGAAGGATGCGTACAATGTTGTATATATATATATACATTTAAATATGTATATATCACTTCATCACTTCATTATATAGTCTAGAAATATGTAAGCATAAAATAAAAATAGAGGATTTTTTCAAAAGCGTTTAACTAAAATCCCTCAAGTGGCATTTAATTTAATATATCTAATTCGTTAAGTTGACAATTAGTATAGGATTGCTATAATTATAATTATAATAATAATATATTGCATTCTTTTAAAATGCCTCTCTAACAAGACCTAATATTTTTGATCGACAATTTGGAAAGAACCAAATCTCATGTATCTGAACTTTCTTTATTTCTCTTTAGACGTTTAAAATATTTGAAATTTTCTAATAAGAAAAATGTTAATATCTTAACGTTTTGCCACAACAATTCAATTTAAGTTTTTCCTGCCGTACAAGCACCAGATTTACATATCTCCTTTATCGAATTATCATATATGCACATATGATGATGTCTCAGTTACATGTGTCGCATTTGAATAATCCATGCCGGCAACAACAAATCTCCCAACGGCTAGGAACTGCAGTAGTTGTGCTTTTTATCGATTTGGAACGCTTTGAGGAATTACATGACATCGTCAGCTCCATCGTGAGCCGTGTGACACACTGTCACAGTTTTTTGTTGTACATTTTTCCATATTGGCCTTTAGCGATTCTTCGTCTTCCATACCACTTATACCATGACGAAGGAGTGGTACTTTGCATTTTCTTTCGAGTGAAGGCAAATTTTGTGGTATTAAAAATGCAAAATGTCACTGTTGAAAAGTTTTTATTATAATTTTTTGGTTTCTTAATATAAAAATGTAAATTTTTTGTAAATCAACCGATGTCTTTTATGTATGAAAAATTGGGTTAATATTTTAAATATATCATATTTTAAACTAATATTGTTGTAGTTAGGGAGGAATGAAAAATAAGAAATTAGAGAAGAACTTCATAAGTAAGTTTTGTTAAATTTTTTTAAGAGTTATTTAAGATATCTACAATTTAATTGGAGATGTAGTTGCATACTTACAATATTTCAAAATAAATTTAATTAATTCAGCATAAAACTTTGATGTATGCTTTAAATATTAATAATATATAGCAGCTGTGTAACACCTTAGTTAAGATTAATTGCTTTGAAATAACATATGCTGACACTTCTATCTAACACTACTTATATATAGGTTAGGTTAGGTTAAGTTAGATCATTGGGGCCGTCCGAAGACGTACTTAGGCTATGAGGTCTATTGCAATACCCCTGTGAGACTTACTTACATATAAGTTATAGCAATTCAGTTAACAATTAAGTTATGTATAAGTTGGATTTTAAAGAAAACAGAATTTTTTTAAAACAGATGTTTGCAGTAAGTCAATCTATAAAATTCATAGTGCACTGATAAGACGGATTGAAGATGTAACTGCATAACATTTTAACGACTAGGAGTTATTGCGTCCAAATTAACAGGCTTTTAGAGTAATATAAGCAATTTAAATGACGTAAATTTCATTGTTCTTGGATTAACTGACAATGTCCAAAGTGACTGGGTTTTAGGGTAATATAAGCTATTAGATAGCTTATATTCATTGTTCTTGGATTTACTCACTCCATTGTCTTATTGTCAAATTTTTTATCTGGAGAAATAGAAGCAATTATTCCATTCAAAATGGCGAACCTTATCAAATGTTTTCTTTTCAAAGATGAACACATTTTTCTGAAAAGGTTAGAAATGGATAATGTCCAAATAGGTGGGTACGGTAATGCTTACTAGTTGAAGCTTTAATTGTTCTAAATTTTTCGTAAAAATATAATAAATTAATGTTTATTTTATGCGCAGATTTATTAGATTTCAGTTTCATTAATCTTTATGCGGTCACAATCTCCGCAGACCCAATGAAAAATTTGCACGCCGAGTTC